AACAGGAAGGGGGGGTGGGGGAGGGGTCGAATTCTAATGACCCAAAATGAATAACAAAGGATCTGAAGAACATTATAGATAGCGAGCGTGGTACAAAAGGATTAAGAATGGGGAAGTTAGTTTAGAACAGGAATTCGTACAACTGGTTAGAAATGTTAAAAAAGAGATAAGGCAAAAGAGAAACTATGAAGTTCGTATAGCAGGCCAAGCAAAGACAAATCTTAAGTTTTTTTTCAGTTATATGGAACTACGACTAGGGAAAGGATTGGTCCATTAAAAACTGAGACAGGTCAGATAACGGATAATGACAAAGAGATGAGTAGTATTTTAAATAAATATTTTATCTCTATATTTACTAAAGAGGAACTTAACACTATGCCTTCAGCGGAACAAGTTTATGTGGGTGGGGACGAGGACAGGTTGACTAGTCTAACAGTTACCAGGGAGGATGTTATTAAACAAATAGTGAAACTCAAGGCAAACAAATCCCCAGGGCGGATGAAGTGTTTGCCAGGGTGCTTAAAGAATGCAAAGAGGAGCTTTGTGACCCACTGTCTACCATATTTAATAAATCATTAGAGTCAGGTAGAGTGCCAGAGTCATGGAAGGTTGCAAATGTGGTACTAATTTTCAAGAAAGGAGATAGATCACTTGCGTCAAACTATCGACCAATTAGCTTAACGTCTGTTGTGGGAAAGTTACTTGAATAGATAATTGCACATACCATTCGTCTTCATCTTGAAAAACATAAATTCATAAATGATTCACAACATGTTTTACAAATGGCCGTTCATTGTTTAATTTGCTATCTTTTTATTCCAGCATAGTTGAGGCAGTTGGTAGTGGTAAGGTTTGTGATGTTGTGTACCTTACCTAGCAAAGCTTTTGATACAGTGCCACATGAAAGACTGATTAAAAAGATAGAAGCTGACGGTATTGAGAGTGCTATATTAAGATGGATTAGGGCATGGCTATACTAAAGGAAACAAAGTTAGTATAACTGGCGTCAAGTCAGACTGGGAAAATGTTGTAAGTGGAATGCCTCAAGGCTCTGGTCTAGGACCTCTGTTATTCATAATATATATAATTTTTTTAGATTCGGGTTTGTATATGGTTTGTGAGACCATGGGAAGACCTAGCCAGGTCTTCCCATGGTCTCATCCCAGCACTGGCACCTAGCCAGATCTTCCTATGGTCTCATCCCAGCACTGGCACCTAGCCAGGTCTTCCTAGGGTCTCATCCCCAGCACTGGCACCTAGCCAGGTCTTCCCATGACCTCATCCCAGCACTGGCACCAAGCCAGGTCTTCCCATGACCTCATCCCAGCACTGGCACCTAGCCAGATCTTCCTAGGGCCTCATCCCCAGCACTGGCACCTAGCCAGGTCTTCCCATGACCTCATCCCAGCACTGGCACCTAGCCAGATCTTCCTAGGGCCTCATCCCCAGCACTGGCACCTAGCCAGGTCTTCTTAGGGCCTCATTCCCAGCACTGGCACCTAGCCAGGTCTTCCCATGGTCTCATCCCAGCACTAGCTAGATCTTCCCATGACCTCATCCCAGCACTGGCACCTAGCCAGGTCTTCCTAGGGCCTCATCCCCAGCACTGGCACCTAGCAAGGGCTTCCTAGGGGCCTCGTCCCAGCCCTGACAAGGAAGCCACCTTGCATGAGTGGATCACGTATATACACATCCAGGAATGTTCTCCAATACACAGCTCCCATCACTAGTACAGCAAAGGAATATATTTCACCAGCTTCCAAATATATATATATATATATATATATATATATATATATATATATATATATATATATATATATATATATATATATATATATATATATTTATATATATATATAATACCGCTTCACATCACCATATAAACCCGGTCGACACGTACACCAGCCACAATTTCACAAGAGAATCGCCGATAATTTTGCGTGTAAAATTTTATCCATTTGACACACATGTCATTTGTAATTTGACATTTACATCACATTAATTAAATTCATAACAAATATCAGAGTACTGCAGCACTCGATTGGAAAACTTTTCATTTTGATTTAAATTAACTTTTTATGGATACTTACGTTTTTATACAGATGCCATAGACGATGTGTATAGAGTCAAAGAGCTCCAGCTATACCAAGAGGCTGAAGATCAAGACATGAGGTTGGGATGCTCTCGGACGCAGGTTCGAATCCTTGTCACGGCTCTTGTGGATTTGTTGGTCAAGACATGAGGCTATTCTCAAGAACACAAATATATAATACCGGTAGTGACTATTCTTAAGGATCGTTGTCTCCAGCGTTATGAAGAAATAGAAGGATTGGTATCCAAGACTCGACAGATTATATCACAATTTGAGGGAACGCAAATTGGTGCATTTGGTGTGTTTACACAAGCCTAAACCTTTCTCTAAAATTCATGGACAATATACTTGGGGGTAACTTAGGCCGTAAACATTCATATAGTTCAAGTTAGTCGGAGCCGGTCGGCCGAGCGGACAGCACACTGGGCTTGTGATCCTGTGGTCCTGGGTTCGATCCCAGGCGCCGGCGAGAAACAATGGGCAGAGTTTCTTTCACCCTATGCCCCTGTTACCTAGCAGTAAAATAGGTACCTGGGTGTTAGTCAGCTGTCACGGGCTGCTTCCTGGGGGTGGAGGCCTGGTCGAGGACCGGGCCGCGGGAACACTAAAGCCCCGAAATCATCTCAAGGTAACCTCAAGGTAGTCAGAAAATAACATTGCTTAAAAGTAAATAACCATTGTTCTGAATAACATCTTCACTCTCTGAATAACATCTCCACTCTCTGAATAACATCTTCACTCTCTGAATAACATCTTCACTCTCTGAATAACATCTCCACTCTCTGAATAACATCTTCGCTCTCTGAATAATATCTTCACTCTCTGAATAACATCTTCACTCTCTGAATAACATCTTCACTCTCTGAATAACATCTTCACTCTCTGAATAATATCTTCACTCTCTGAATAATATCTTCACTCTCTGAATAACATCTCTTCTAATTAACGACTACAATATGCATAAGACATTAATGAATCAATGAATACCTGTATATTGATGAAGCCAAACTGACACCTGTGTGCTGGCGAGTGTACGTCCAATTATATCCGAACACAAGTAGATGATGTCTTATCTAAACACAAGTAGATGATGTCTTATCTAAACACAAGTAGATGATGACTTAGTCTACATCCAAACACAAGTAGATGATGTCTTATCCAAACACAAGTAGATGATGTCTTATCCAAACACAAGTAGATGATGTCTTAATCTACATCCAAACACAAGTAGATGATGTCTTAATCTACATCCAAACACAAGTAGATGATGTCCTACTCTACATCCAAACACAAGTAGATGATGTCCTACTCTACATCCAAACACAAGTAGATGATGTCCTACTCTACATCCAAACACAAGTAGATGATGTCCTACTCTACATATAAACACAAGTAGATGATGACTTAGTCTACATCCAAACACAAGTAGATGATCTCCTGGTCTACATTTGGCCCAATTTATACAGCTTGTACATTACCTGTTTACTGGAGGCTGAGAGAGGGGAAGCTGCATGATGCTTGTAGCATGATCTTCCACGTGGAGTCATCTCGTCCTCTCTCAACCAGTAGGTCGTGTTCTGGACGCTATGGGAGCCAACGTTACAAATACAGCCTACTATGGAGAGTAAACTCTCACAAATATCTACATTTTCTATGCACTGGACTCGATAGGTTGGGTGGGTTGCTCGGGTTCAGCGAATCAGGGCTCGTCCTCACCATTTGCCACAACGGACAAAATATGGGCTACTAAAACACGTGACAGTAACCTAACCACAACAGCCACACATAGAAAACGTGAGTTTTGAGCGCTACAATATCCTTTATTTGATCCGTTGGAGATTATAGCGTCAAAATACGGTGTATTGTTTGAGAGAAGAGATTGTAAGTATCAATAACGGCGCTAACGGCTTCCGGCGGGTCATAACACTAGGCTTTACCACCACAACTAAGAAAGACTCCTCCCCCCATGACGGCAGACAGCCGACTGGCAGCTCTTTCTTTTTTTCCCTCCCTCCAACCCTTGAAAAATGTAAACAATGCGCGCGCCACCCAACGACAACTATGGGAACTACCCTACCTGTATTTATCCCGTGAAATTGCAGAGTTTTTTGCCATAATAACCATAAACACACACCAACAATGGGTAGTAAACTCGTACGGTATTACTGCTGTTAGTCCCGCTACCAGTAGTTTCTTAACAGTTTGCAAACTGTTAATGTTAAATGCCAATAAGAGTTTAGCTGACAAACCGTCACTGGCTTATCAACACTCTGGGCTCTCAAGAGCCGCAGTGTGAACATCTACGGAGGCAGGATTGTTGTGTTAAGACAACACAATCATACAATCATGCCTTGGTGCTAAATTAAGCTGGGCGCATCGTGCATACCTGGTACCTGCTCACCTGCCCAGGTGTTCAGGTATGCTGTTTATATAATTCCAGACCATGGAATGTTTCCAGGGTCTACGGTACTGTGTCCCTGATTCCCGGTATTGTGTCCCTGATTCCCGGTATTGTGTCCCTGATTCCCGGTATTGTGTCCCTGATTCGCGGTATTGTGTCCCTGATTCCCGGTATTGTGTCCCTGATTCCCGGTATTGTGTCCCTGATTCCCGGTATTGTGTCCCTGATTCCCGGTATTGTGTCCCTGATTCCTGATATTGTGTCCCTGATTCCCGGTATTGTGTCCCTGATTCCCGGTATTGTGTCCCTGATTCCCGGTATTGTGTCCCTGATTCCCGGTATTGTGTCCCTGATTCCTGATATTGTGTCCCTGATTCCTGGTATTGTGTCCCTGATTCCCGGTATTGCTACCCCAGTTCCGTGGGGCCAAGTACCAGTTGACAGAATCGTTTGAAAACCCAAAGTAGTGACAAAGCTGCAAAGTTGAAGATAGAGGTAACTTACCTGTGTGGCTTCTAGGTAAGGGAGGCGTCCCTCTTGCTCCAGTTGGTACTGGCTGTAGGTAAGTCTCCACCCCTAGGGGCACCTCCCCTTGGGGCGCTTCCCCTTGGGGCGTCTCCCCCTGGGGCGTCTTCCCCTGGGGCGTCTTCCCACCTTCAGGCAGCACACTTAATGTTTTTATCCTTAAGTTAATGTCATCTTGTATTTCAAGTCACTAGATATATCTGCTCCACGGAGCTCATCGTCAGATGCAAGTTGTCCCAAGTTGCCTGACTCGCGTCTCAGGTGGAGAGGACGGACGTGCACGCCAGGTGTGTCCAGCAGGTGTGTGGGTGTCCAGCAGGTGTGTGGGTGTGTAGGCGTTCAGCCGGTGTGTGGGCGTTCAGTTGGTGTGTGGGCGTTCCGGCCAGATGTTCAGCGTCGCGGTACAGAATCTCCGCCAAGAGGGTTCCATAAGCATTATTCGCTGTTGGCTGTGAACACGATGTTATTTATCCGTGTTCCTTAACTTCCTGGTGAACAGTGTTCCTTAACTTCCTGGTGAACACGGAGTCAACCATCCGTGTTTGGAGCTCACACAGTACTCAACTTTCTCACTTCTAAGTTGGTCTGTGGCGGCAAATGATGTCCGCCGTCCTGGTTTGATAGCTGAATGGTCTACAGTCTATCCCGGTCACATTTGAGTCTCTCGGTCAGTAAGGTCGACTTTAAAATTAGCTGTTCGGACTGATCGACGCGAGGGGGGAGGGGGGGGGGGGGCTGTTCGACTCTGGCAGCACACTTCTCTGGCAGGTCTTGAGGCAGTGGAACTTCAGTGGTTACCGTAGTGAGGTGGTGGGTAGTGGGCCCTCTGGGAGCTGATCTGACGCAGCATCCATCGTCTTATCTCCTCACCTGTGTGTCTTGGCGCTAGTGTGATGCCTCACCTGTGATGCCTCACCACTAGTGTGATGCCTCACCACCAGTGTGATGCCTCACCACCAGTGTGATGCCTCACCACCAGTGTGATGCCTCACCTGTGATGCCTCACCTGTGACGCCTCACCACCAGTGTGATGCCTCACCTGTGATGCCTCACCACCAGTGTGATGCCTCACCTGTGATGCCTCACCTGTGACGCCTCACCACCAGTGTGATGCCTCACCTGTGATGCCTCACCACCAGTGTGATGCCTCACCTGTGACGCCTCACCACCAGTGTGATGCCTCACCACCAGTGTGATGCCTCACCTGTGACGCCTCACCACCAGTGTGATGCCTCACCCGTGACGCCTCACCACCAGTGTGATGCCTCACCACCAGTGTGATGCCTCACCACCAGTGTGATGCCTCACCACCAGTGTGATGCCTCACCACCAGTGTGATGCCTCACCACCAGTGTGATGCCTCACCTGTGATGCCTCACCTGTGACGCCTCACCACCAGTGTGATGCCTCACCTGTGATGCCTCACCTGTGATGCCTCACCACCAGTGTGATGCCTCACCTGTGATGCCTCACCTGTGACGCCTCACCACCAGTGTGATGCCTCACCTGTGATGCCTCACCACCAGTGTGATGCCTCACCTGTGATGCCTCACCTGTGACGCCTCACCACCAGTGTGATGCCTCACCTGTGATGCCTCACCACCAGTGTGATGCCTCACCTGTGACGCCTCACCACCAGTGTGATGCCTCACCACCAGTGTGATGCCTCACCTGTGACGCCTCACCACCAGTGTGATGCCTCACCCGTGACGCCTCACCACCAGTGTGATGCCTCACCACCAGTGTGATGCCTCACCTGTGATGCCTCACCTGTGACGCCTCACCACCAGTGTGATGCTTCACCTGTGATGCCTCACCACCAGTGTGATGCCTCACCTGTGACGCCTCACCACCAGTGTGATGCCTCACCACCAGTGTGATGCCTCACCTGTGACGCCTCACCACCAGTGTGATGCCTCACCACCAGTGTGATGCCTCACCTGTGACGCCTCACCACCAGTGTGATGCCTCACCACCAGTGTGATGCCTCACCTGTGACGCCTCACCACCAGTGTGACGCCTCACCACCAGTGTGATGCCTCACCACCAGTGTGATGCCTCACCTGTGACGCCTCACCACCAGTGTGATGCCTCACCACCAGTGTGATGCCTCACGTGGGCACCACCAGAGGAGGAGAGGAGCCTGAGAGGAGCCACCTACCTGGCGGGTCAAGACTGAGGGAAGGAGGAGGAGGGCGAGCCTTACCCTCCCTAGGAGCCTCTAGACTGGCCAGGCTTCACCCTCATGAACCACACATCAATAAGAACCCTCACTACCTCACGCCCCTCACAGGTGCGTCGCCTCGACCGCCTCACCTCCACTCGCTACGGTACAGTTTTCCATTTATAAGATGGCAAGAGGGGCCGGCAGGAGAGGCTGTGATGGCTGGAAGGCCCTCACCGCAAGGGTTCACACGACACCTGCCCCTTCTGTGTCTTGGGGTTCAAATTCCTTGGATTGATATTTTTATTGAGTGTGACGGGGCGGTTGGGGCCGGCCCCGAGGGCGGGAGGCGGGGCTGGCGAATGCGAACTGACGGTCGGGTATGACGGCTGCGGTGGACACAAGAGGGAAACTGTCAGCACGTTGAGGAGGGAGCGAGGAGACGAGCGGTGCGTCCTCCCACCGCCACTGCATCAGCCACACTGAAGGTCGAGCCATCTGATGCCTCCCCCGTCCACTACCCTCCTCCCTCCTCCCCTCTCTTACCCCAACACCTTCCCTTCATGTTCTACTCTTCCCCCTCCCTCCCTTACACTCTACCTGTCTATCCTCGTGTTACCCATCCCTGTTCTACGCCCAGCTACTTGGGCTGGACGGTAGAGCGACGGTGTCACTTCATGCAGGTTGGCGTTCAATCCCCGACCGTCCAAGCGGATGGGCACCAATTTTTTCCCCACCGTCCCATCCCAAATCCTTATCCTGACCCCCTTCCCAGTGATATATAGTCGTAATGGCTTGGCGCTTTCCCCCTGATAGTTCCCTCTTCCCATCCTACCTACCCCACCCATTAACCACATCCTCGCAATACCCTTGTATTAATTTCAGTAGTAATTCCCCGGCAATTAAACCCTTTTCATAATTTCATTATCTCTTGAATTCCTGAACCTTCTCTTCCTAACACCCCTTTTTTGTAGAGGGGGTGTCCCCCCCCTCTACACCCTTACTTCCCCCTCCCTACACCCTTACTCTCCACCTTTCTAAATAATAAAAAAAATTAAGTATCATATATATATTGATACCAGCCCATCCTATTAAGATAACAGTACTTACACCAACCATCTGGTCAACCGTGCACAACTGGCCTGTTAAGAGCCACAAAGCGAACGCCTTGTCTTACTGAACGAGCCCAGGTGGTTACATGTAAGAGGATGGTAGAGTAGTTACAGAGGGTAATTAACCTAGGATGTCCAAGTAATAGTAGGCCTCATAAACACTATCTGAGGCTTAATGGCCTAAGGCTTATTTTGCTTACCTGATCAACGAGGCTGTGATTCGTACGTCAGGCTGCGAGCAGCCTGGTTGACCAGTCCAGCAACCAGGAGGCCTGGTCGACGACCGGGCCGCGGGGACGCTAAGCCCCGAAAGCACCTCAAGGTAACCTCAAGGTAATGTAGTACATATATGTGCTATAATAGGTTTAGGAATGTTTTAGATTTGTTGTGCTCCCTACGATATTAATAATACGAAACATGAACGTTATTGTCTGAAACTGTCCATTTTTGTACGTTCAGTCAAAGAGTTGCCATAAGTACTGTTAGTTTAAGAGGCTGGGTTGGATTATGCAATATTTTTTCTGAAGTTCAGTAAAAATATCCTTGTCTGTATCTTGCGAGATGAGGTAAGGAATGTCTCCTTCGTTACTGTCTCCTACAACACGCAACATCTGTTTTAGATTGGTTCCTTTGGAACTAGCTCACTCACGGACCCTAATCAGGAATCTCACTAGTTGTCCCACACTCTCATTGGATTTCAGCAGCCCTCACTAGGTGTCGGGGCCACAAGTCTCGGCCACTTTTTTGTAAATCTCCAAAATATCAATTTAAGAGCTGGTTCCTCCCAACCTCCCAGACTCTACAAGTTCACCTTTTCCTTGGTAACACTCCACACAGCCGCTCTCTCGGCTGACGAACTCCGGCCTCTAGGAATTTCTTAGTCCCACAGAGTCCACTACAGCTTCATCAAAAAAGCACTACAGGTCCCTGTAGGCGTACCTCCACAGTGCGTGTCCGCAGTCCTGTCTACTGGATGACAGTACACACTGGTCGACAGCTGAGCCGCTCCGCTGCAGCCTTCTGATCGTCTTCGTTCCCTTCCTGCGTGTGTGTTCGTCGGTCCGGCCTCAGAGCCACACTGACCTTCAATAATCACCTGTCATCCGCCTCCTAACGAGCTGCGACAAACGAAGATCGTCGTCTTTTTGATGACACACGACGGCCTCAGTGAGTCAAGCTGCCGGTCGCAGCGACGTGACACACCCTCAGCACATCTTCTCCAATCCCGACGAATTCAGCTATTTATCAGGAGCAGCTGCTCGTACCGTCTTCCTAGTTGTGCCAGCCTTGACGTAAGAGTGGTTAGGTCCGTCCCACGGGTCTACGAGCGCTGAAACGAGCGCTGGAAACGGGAAAAGCTACAGGCGTCCGACCCTCTCGAATCTAGGAGGTGAAGAGGCAGGTTTTTCCCGCCGCGAGACGTCACCGTCTCCTAAGACAGGTCAGACTCTCTCCATTTCGTTTCGAACTTACCAGCCCGTCCGTCTCCCTGGAAATTTCCAGTTCAGAAAGGAGAAATCGGATCGCCTCTCGATTCTTCCTCACCATATTTCCAGTTCTCACTCTCTCTGCTAATTAGTAGTAGAGAGAGAGTCGCTAATTATTTCTTACATTATTTATCATCTCTACACATTGTATTCCATGCTGGCACAGGAATGTATTCCATGCTGGCACAGGAATGTATTCCATGCTGGCACAGGAATGTATTCCCTCAGGGACGCCCAGGAGGCTAGGCTACGTTGCCTCATATCATGACAATAAATAGATGGTAGATAGGCAGATGAACCGATAGATGAATAAATGGAGAAATAGATTGGTAGATAGATGGACAAATGGGAGACAGACAGTGTGGGTTATTTTTACCTCTTGCTATCTTTTCCCTCAATTAATTTTCAATAAAATAAATTCTCTAGGCATAAAAGGGGAGGTAGAAATAGCCTAAGCTACTCTATCCCTTTGAGATGTATTTCTTTCTTGTCTCAATAAACATACTTGAACTTGATCTAGGCATAAAATAATGTATATAATGTAATGTATATGTATAAAATAATATAATGTAATGTATATGTATAAAATAATATATTGTAAAATTATACCATTTCAATTCAATTATAAGTATTTAAATTATTAAGACAATATTACTGGTGTGCCCCCTAGACAACAGAACTCGCAGCTGTGGTATTAATGCTCTATTTCCCAAGCAATTTGCCGCTGGGAAGGATCACTGGCAGACTCAATCGTTGCTTTGTCCACCTGCCCGCAGCTCCACAATCTATAATAAGTAATGAATTAATATGTATAATTTCTGCAGCGAAATCACTGATTCGTATCAGCGTACGCTTACAATTACTGTGCTCAAAAATTATACTGTTTGAGCACAGTATTTTGGGGCAGTAGGCGGCTTCATTCACCTAGAACCATTTCCAGTACTGTTCCCTCATGTGTGGAGCGCTTCCAGCACTATTGTTCTGGTATAAATTGTCTCTATTACTGTCTGGTGACGCGGGAACAAATGGAGTAATTAACACCTGGAATAAAAGCACAGGCAAATAAAACTGAGAGTTGAGCTGGTGCCGGGGCGCCCCTGCTGCAGGATGTTGTTGTTTAAGAGTCAGCTACTGGGAACAAAACGTTCCATGTAGCACAGGCTATGGTGAGCCCGAAGTGGACTTGTTATAGGAGCTGAGTGTGTGATGGCGTCGGCCGCCGCCGCCCTCCTCCTCGCTCGCCAGTACACACGCCAATATTTATTTGACTCAATTTAGTTAATGTTTATTCATTAATGTATTATAAAGTGGTTAAATGCTATGGCATTACCCAAATTAATGTAACATAACAAATGTTATTAATTACGATTTCCTTATTTAGGAGATCGCACGTTAGAACTCGTCAGGGAGGCATACATAAGCCGCCCAGTAGGGGGGGGAGGGTCCCCTTATTGAACTCCACACCAGAATTAATGTATTAATTAGTGTAGAATTAGCGCCAAGCCATCACGACCATAGAGCACATGGAAGGGACGAGGATAAGTAAGTGGGATGGGACTAAGCTGTGGGATATTTTCCACAGACAGATCCGGGCGAGGCCAGATTACACAGCCTCGTGTACCTATAAGAATGTTTATACAAAGTTTGAGGCTTGAGGGGGTAGCCTAACCCAAATTTGAAGGGGAAATGTTGTGAGTGTGTGGGACAGACAGGTTTTTCGAGATGCAGATGTAAATGAAGAGTAGACAGTAAATATGTCAGTGGAAAAACTGTCGTTTTCCTGCAGAGGAAAACTAGGCATATAGTTCAAGTTCAAATTCAATTTTTTTATTCAGGAAAAGTACATACATACATGATTTGCAAACCCAAAGTTGTATTTATAGATAGAGTTAGTACATACAATACCTAAAGCCACTAAATCGCACAGCGTGTCGGCCAGTTAGTACATAAGAGTACGCGGTTCAGTTAGGTTATTCGGTTAGTACATCAGAGGCTGGCGCCCCTGAGGGAGAGTACAGTTGACTGAACATTTTTCCCCATTACACGATCATCCTCCATTACAGATTTATTTCCAGTACCACCT